TGCTACTGTTGTAAATGCGAACCAGTATAGCATCAAGTGTCTTATCAAAGTCAGTCTGACTGCAATTAAGACAAAAATGTGAGGGTGTTTTGGACTGAAGATGTAAGTGCAGCAGTGGGAGCTGCACACATCCTCCATGTGTGAAAAGCCCATTGTTGTAGGGTTTGATACATTTTTTATGTCTTTTCAAATGCTAATCTTGACTGGTTAAATGACCCTTAATTATATGGAAGTATGTTGTGTTGGCACTTGAAATACCTGCTCTTTTCATCACTTCTTTGAGGGCTTATGTTTCACCTGTCCTGAACAAAGCATCTCTAGTTCTCAACAGAGCTGTCACCTCAGCAGTCAGCCAGGGTTTCTTGACTGGAAAACAGGTTACTACTCTTGTGGTGGTGGTGGCATCATCAATAGAGTTAAAGATGAACCTGAAAACAGAGGAGGTGTATTCCTTCAGGTCCACCTCTCCCTCATATGTATCAGCCTCTCTGAAAAGACCTTCCAATATGTTCACTAAAAACCTGGGGCACAGCAGCTACATCCCTAGGCCAAACATTGACTGTTGTCTTAGTTGGCCTAAAAGTCTTATCAGTGGTAGATATTAAGATCTCTACCACATATTGTAAGACTCCACTATCTAAATGTTCCTACACCGGTAAACATCCAGAGAAGGGACATCGAGATAGCGGACTCTTATAAGTACCTAGGGGTAGGTGAAGATTCTTAGTCATCCAGGTCATAGTCATTCCAAAAAAATTGAAAAACAATCCACTGGACTTTGTTTTCAAGTTTGAAGAAGTTTCTTTTCCCATCCCGGAAGCTTTTTTAATTCAAAATGTCAGAAATAGCGTTGAGTTTGGGCCTTTATTGAGTGGACCAGAAACAAAGCCTTGTTTTGGCTTAGAAAACATGCAAATTAAACCGGACAAACGAGTCTGCCCCTTAGGAATGGGGGTCGTTCGGGTTCTTTGTTAGCCTGCAATATCCTATACCTGTCTAGTACTTGGTGTTCACCTGAATAACAAACTGGACTGGACTCACAACACTGAGGCTCTGTATAAGAAAGGTCAGAGAGAACTCTTCCTTCTGAGGAGACTTAGTCTTTTGCTGTGCAGGGGTGTCTCCTAAAGACCCTCTAAGACTTTGTGCGGCATCAGCGATCTTCTAAGGAGCTGTCTGTTGGAGAGATGGCTAATTTGTAGCTGAGAGAAAAAGGTTGGATAAGCCAATCAAGAAGACCAGCTCTGTAATTGGATGCCCTCTGGACTCTGGAGTGCAGGAGGTGGGAATTAAAAGGATCCTAACTAAATTAACATCTCTGTTGGATAATGTCTCTCACCCCAAGCATGAGGCTGTTGCAGAACTGGAGAGCTCCTTCAGTGACAGACTGCTGCACCCTAAATGCACCAGGGAGCGTCATCACAGATCCTTCCTCCCAGCAGCTGGGAGACTTTATAACAGCACTGTTCCCAACAACCTCAATAAGTTGTTACATTCATGCCGATTTTGGGCAGTTTCAACCTTAGTTAAATAACATGCTGTTGTCAAATAGCAGCACATCTCTGATGTTGCTGCTATTTTTCAAATATCCTTTACTGTAAAAATGTCCATAGCTGTATATTGGTTATTTATTCTCCAGGTGCACAGTTTTATATTGTTAAAACTCTTTACAGTATGGGATTTCATTTGTTTATTTATTTTTTTTACTTTTCACTATTATGTTATTCTTATACAGTTTTCTAATGTCCACATTTGTTTGGCCATTTTTTATACAATCTTTTTGCTGCTGTAAATACCAGAATTTCCCCATTGTTGGATAAAAGGGATTTTCTATTGTATTGTATTGTATTGTATTGTATTGTATTGTATTGTATTGTATTGTATTGTATTCTATTCTATTCTATTCTATTCTATTCTATTCTATTCTATTCTATTCTTTTCTGGCACCAGCAGGATAGGGATGAGGTCAGAGAAGGCAAGATGGGGCTGAGGAGGAGCTCTGTAAACACCATGAATGTTAGTGTTGGCAGGGTTAAGCATCTTCTCTTCCACCCAGGGAGACAAGATTCTGGAGGATTGCAGCCTTGATGGTATATTAAAAAGAGAATCTCTGGCTATTAATTCAGTTGAACTGTACTTCAGCCGTGAATTTAGCCATGAACTAACACCTAAGGTGTATTATAGGTACAATTCTAAGTGTCTGTGATCATTTTTTTTTCTTTGATGCAGTCACAGGTGGGACATGCTTTCATATTGTCAACTTTGTTGAAGTTCCAGTAAAAAAAGACAGTAGTTGCCCTTGACAGTATTTTGGAAAAGTTTATGTTGACTGATTTGACCACTTTACACGCTATTGAGTTTGTGCTCATTTCCTCATCATACTCTGTATAGGAAAAGGACAAAATCTCTTCAGTACTTGATTGAATAAAATACTCCATCCATCCATATTTATATCTGCCTATCGAGTCAGGGTTGCACAGCAGGTAGGGGACTGCGCAGTCATTGGGTTTGAGGAATGGTACACCATGGACAAGTTGCCAGTCCATTGTAGTAAAGACAATAATGCACATACTTTTAAAAGACTATTTTGACAACAGCAGGCATTGGAATCTTTGAAAACATATGGTCTAAGACAATTAACTAATAAAAATACACAAAAAAAGGTAGATCTTTTAATCATAGTTTATATAGCATGCTTATATGTTTGTATCTTGGATGTTTCTTTTTGTTAAATGCAAGCATGTGATGTCATTATCTTGTTATTGTTTTTTCTATTATTTTACTTGTTTAATTATTGAAACTGAAAAGCTATCAAGCAGGCAGGCTATTACTTTAAATGGTATGGTGATATAGTAAAATAAAAAAAAGTTAAGGAAACACATACTTTCAAGTTTATCACTTTACTGCATTAATAAAAAAAATATATTTTTTTATTTACAATACATATTGTATACATATAAATACATATCACGCCATAAGATTTAAACATATCTCAATTTATTTCCACTAGCTGAAAATATTTATCATTTATTTAAATGGCCAAGCCAGGGCCGCTAAATGCTCATGCTATAGATTAGGATGATGGAAAGGATGCCTTCTACTATAAAAGATGAATTCCAAATGATTTTTACCAATGATTATTCAGAAGAGTATAGGTGATTTTACTATGCTGTCTCCTAAAAAAACAAAAAAAAAAAACAAGATAAAGTGCTTCATAAAATTTAAATCTAAAAGTTTGTGTGTGTGTGTGGGTATACTTATTTATAAATATCAAGATATTCTGGAGTTTGTCAGATCACATTGGAATATTTTTCCTGAAATTATCATTCTGAAAGCTGATCTGAACCAGCTGTAAAAGAAGGCATAAATTAAAGGATTAAGCATTGAATTTGAGAGTGTAAGCCAGTTTAGTGTCTCTATTACAGGGACTGGTGGGGGGCTGTGATATAATGGCTGGAAGACAACACAGATGAAATAGGGAGTGAGACATAAAAGAAATACCCCCATCACAATTGCCAGGGTTTTGGTGGCCTTTTTCTCCACCCTACTAACTGTTGTTCCTGGCTTTCTATCTAAGCAGTTTGTGTTATGGATACTTTTTAATTGTTTCTGAGCAACAAGGAAGATCTTGAAGTAAATGCAGAGCATTATGACTGCTGGAAGGTAAAAAGAGAAAACAGGACCCATAGTGTTGGCAGCTATAATGTCAACAGAGCATTCATCCTCACATGTTCCTTGGCTGAATCCTGCAATAATGATGGCAATTCCTATTAGAATAGAGACTCCCCATGTGAAGAGGATCATAACCACAGTTATCTTAGCATTCATTTTCATCCTATATGTCAAAGGCTGGCAGACTGCATAGTATCTGTCGATTGAAATACAGCATAGGTTTAGAATAGAAGCTGTGCACATTGTGACATCAAATGTGTCCCGTATTTTGCAGAACAAGCTTTCATAATTGAGACATGAAGTCACAGTGAATGCCATGCTAAAGGGGAAAACTAAAATCCCAACAAGCAGATCAGAAACAGCTAAAGAGAGAATGAGGTAGTTAGTGGGAGTATGGAGCTGCCTGAAGTAAATGATCGAAAATATGACAAGTAAGTTTCCACAAAGAGTAACGATAGACAATAGTCCAAGAAAGATGTACAATGATACACACATGACAGACGGGTTGTTTGCAAACATGTAAGTTTCATTTTCTGAGACATAGCAAGGATGAATATGAGTATCCCTATTACTGCTGTTTACATTAAATTCTGCATCCATATTGAATCAAGCTAAAGAAAGAAAATAAAAACATGATTTAGTTTATTCCTTTTTTTTAGACAACTAATTTTACTTTGTTCTGGACATCCTTACCTTGTGATGCTTTAAGCTACTGGATTTGATTTAAGAGCTGAGTGTGCCTTTGGATTTAAAAATCTCTTTCTCAATGACATGTTCATCATGTGCTTGGATTAGCCAATCAGATGTAAGATCCTATGTGACATGCATAAGGAATAATAAAAAATCATTTATTAAAGAAACATATGTTTGCCTTTGCAAGCACTCATACTGTAATGCAATAATTAAACTTTTTCTTTTGTCAATAAAAGTATTTGTTGACGATAGTATACAAATTGAGCATCAGAAATCTCCAAAAAGGAATATACCCAGGTGAATGAAATTGTCATAACCGTAAAGTCAATGTTTCATCTGAACTGTTCGGATGTATGTTGTCTGGATCTTACATTTTTTAAAACACTAAAGGCAAATGATGACCAAATACTTTAAATTACCAGCTATTTTGTCTGGTATTTTATCCAATTTCAGAATTTTTTTAAAGTAAAATTTCTCTAACCCAAAGTTATTTATTTAAGTCCTAAATAAAACCCCACATTTAACTTCTTCTACTGAAAAAAAAATAAATAAATAAATATTACATTGCAGGAGCAAACAGATTTAGAGAAAGGAGCTGGGTTGGCAGTGCTTCATCACTGGTATTCGCCCTGTCACAAGCGCAAGATGGAAGGGAACGGGTCATTGCTCATGCTAGTTGAAATTGGCTTCAAAAGGAATGACCAGAACTACAGCTAATTTGAACTTGAAGCTCTTGCTCTCAATTAGTTTGTCACTGAGAAATTCAAGGACTACCCCTGGGTGCAGACAACGACCCTCCAGTTCATCTTAGCACAGTCAAGCGGGGAGCTGTGGGAGGTGGGTGGCATTACTGGCCAATTTTGATTTTTAACATCACATATTTATAAGGGGTTGCTAACAACAATGCAGATGCACTGTATTTATTCCCTTAAGACATGAAAAACCATAAAGTTGCTGCAGAAAGCTTCTGGAAACCCAAAAAGATGCTGCAGAAACTCACCCGACTGCACAGGCAAAATACAGTGATTGGGTACCAGTCAGCAGGTGATTAGACCCAAAAGCAAACCCAAGGACACGATTTGGTGGTATGACTTTTTACTTTTTTTTCAAAAAATAGACACATTTACAATTACACACTAAAACATTACTTTTTCATGACTGCAAAAAAAAAAAAAAAAAAATATATATATATATATATATATATATATATATATATATATATATATGTCAGTAAAACCAGATTAGGATATTCAGCGCCCATGTAGGACCTTTAACGAAACTGACATATGCATATTTTCAACTGGCATAAACCAGTTTCTAACTGGCCAGTTAGAAACTGGCTTAAACCTTGCTTGTCTCAGGTTAAGTCTCTTAGAGGACTTCAGATATTCCAAGTTCGTCTGATAAGTTCAAACCAAAAAAGGAAACTTGGACCCCTCCAACCAGTGTCTACATTCCTCCAGAGCCAGCTTGACCGCCAGCAGTTCCAGATCCCCCACATAATAATTCCTCTCTGTGCCTGATTGTAGTTTTTGCTTAACCTTCTGTAGAAATTAGCAAACCCCAAGAACCTCTGCAGCTGCTTTCTCTCTTTGGGTACAGACCATTCTGAAACTGTGCTCACCTTTGTTGGGTTCATAGCAATCTTGAGGTCATCCAGCGTTGGAAGACGTTTTATACGACTTCTGGCAGAGTCCCCATCTATAAAAAAAAAAAGGATCTGCATCAGAGTCCACGAATGTAGACAGGTTATGACTGCTGGAATTAACTGAGGAAGTTAGAGGAAGCAGAGGATCTGGGGAGATGTAAAGTCTGGTTTGTCTCAGCAGGGTGTCCAGTGTCCCTCTCTGCTGATTAGAGGCACAGATTCAGCCTGTGGCACCAATCCCTCTCCTCCCTGGAAAGACGTGTGCATCCCGGATGCATCGGTTCAGGACCAGAGGTTTAAGGCTAACATGGCACAGGGCTGAAATTCAAAATTAAGTTCACATTGGCTCAGGAAAGCAAGACACTGATTATAATAACCCTTTAACAGTTCAGGGGGAGACAAACTGATCTGACAGCAGATGACTGAGGCCTGGAAGCTGTCTTAGGCAGAGGTGTGGGAACAGGGTCAGCCTGATTACACAAATTTCTCAGGATTTTCCGCATGCCTGATGTCAGCTGAGTTCTACATTCTGCTACGTCTGAACACCACTGTCGGCCTGCTGATGGGTTCATGTTTGGCCAGATTATTCTGTCAGGGCTCAGTACAGAGGACACAGTATCCAGACAGAGAGACAGTGAGTTATGTCAAAGGGCGGTTTTTCTTTTTTAAACGACTTATCTGCGTTATAAATGTGTGGGTCACTAACCTGGTCTTAAAATTCAGCCGTGCCCAGAGAAAGAGGTGGATTCCAGCCAGATGGCTGCCAACATGACGTGGCAAACATGCCTAAGAAAGTCCAAGATGCTGAAGCCTTGAAGACTGCAGAACTGGTAGGAGATCAGATCCATGTAGACGAAGGAAAGCTGGAATATCCAGAGGACGAAGCCAAAGCCAGTGTAAAACTGTTCACAGGAGTCAGGGCCAGAAGATCAGAGATCTGAAGAGGTACCAAAGGGACATCCAGATCTATGTCAGGAAGCAGTTCCAGGGTTGTCAACAGGCAAAATCCAGCAGGAGTCCGAAGACAGGTCAGGCAAACAGATCAGAACCGGAAAAGCCAGGCTCAAACCTCCAAAAGCAGAACAGTTCAGGATCAGGAAATCTGAAAACAATGAGGTACACTAGACAACTACCAGCAAAGGCGCAAATAATCTGGCACTGATGACTGGAAGCAGCTAAGTTAAATAAAGACTGGAGCAGGTGACAGAGATGAGCGGTGATGAGAAACTTGGCAGAGCTAGGCAGGCAAATTGAATAAACAATCAAGCCAGTCATCAGCGCCAAGATTATAATAGGAACAGCCATTTGATACTAAGTCATTCCTCAATAGTTGTTATTTTGAAAACATTACTGTAGCAAGATGTGTAATTTATTCAAACATATTAAAGAATTCTCATTCAACAGTACTACTTAGTGGTGAAGAACACAGACAGAAAGACACAGGTTTGGGGGTGTCTCTGTGTCCAATATTTTCAGGGAAAATGCAATAGAGAATGATCCACTGGCGTGCTTGAGGCCTTCAGTGACAGCACAGTTTTAAATAGGTGTGGCACGTACTGGCTGACATTTTTTCTTGTTTATGCAACTGTAATTACATTAAGACAACCCAATATGTCGCCGTCCAGTGTGTGCACCTGGACATATGTATTTACAGTATCTGGTGCAATTTGTAGGACTTTGCATTGATAAGGTCCTGGGTTTGATTCTTGGTTCTTTGTGCATGGCATGTGCATGTCCTCTCTATGCAACTCCCTCCCACACTCTGGAGCTGATGACTGATGCTTTGATTCCCCTCTCTAAATTTCCATTAAATGTGTGTGGCCATATTTCCATTATCTTTTGGTGACAGTTTCACATAAATATGCAGCTATTTTGGGGACTTATAGGTACTTGTGCGGACCAGTGACTGGTCCCAATGAGGAAGGGTTCAGTTAATGGGATGGGGGTTAGGTTTAGGACTAAGGTATGAATTTAGTTTAACTTAAGGTTAAGTATGTGTTTGTTATGGTTAGGGAAGGAGTAAGGGTCAGGGTTAGGCCATACAAATGAGGGGGAAATGGAAAAGTCCCAAGGATAGAGTGAAACAACATCCGTTTGTATGTGTCTATGTGCATAGTTGTGTGTCTATATGTTGTTACTGCATCCATATGGACTAGAAACCTGTCCAGGATGTACCCTGCCATTCATTCATAGACTGGTGGAGAAAGGCAACAGCACTCTGTGACCCAGATGGAAGGTGACAGAACATGAATGAATGGATGGATACTTAAAGACAGTGGAAACTCCCTTCTACTTTTGTTTTTCTTTGATCATAATTTTTACTGAGAGATTTGTTTGAAACATAACCAGCCTGGTGACTGGATTCCTATTGTCCCTGTGGAGAAATTTAACCAAAGTCTATAGATCATCCCATTTCTGCCATGTCTAAGGCCATGTCTAAAATTAAGGTTAATGTTTGGCCAAATCGAATTATGAACTTAATGAATGTCTAATGTATACATTTGCTTACTAAGAGATATTACTCCTTTGAAACATTTGCATGTTTATTTTGAGTTATGTAAAACAGAAAACAGAATTTAAAGCTTCATATATTAATATTTACAAAGTCAATGTAACAGTCCTAACTCTAAATCTGATCATAGCTCTAGTCTCTGTGTTGATGTCCTTTGTATTTTTTTTGTAATAACCATAGTTCAGTAAGTAACCATAGTTCAGTAAGTCCTTGATTTCTTTTAAAAGTCATTCAATTTCCATTTTAAGCTAGACCTTCATTAAAAGATGCTTTTAAAAAAGCTTGCTGTTGGCAAAGTCACCTTGAAATATTTTTCCAGAAATGATCAGTCTGACAGCTGATCTAAACCAGCTGTAAAAGAAAGCATAGATAAAAGGATTCAACATAGAATTGGACAAAGTAAGCCAATTAAGACTTTCAATCACATTGATTGGTGTTGCGTCATATGTTAAAGGCTGAAATATGATTAAAAGAAAATAGGGGGTCCAACACAAGAGGAAAACCCCCATTACAACAGCAAGGGTCTTTGTTGCTTTTCTTTCCATCTTACTGAGAGCTGCAGTTGACTTTCTGGTTTGACAGGCAGTGCTGTGAATGCTTTTTAATTGACTCTGTACAACAAGGAAAATCTTTAGATAGATACCAAGCATTATAATGACTGGGATATAGAAAGAGAAAATACATGCCAAAGTGGTTGATATCAAAGCATCAATTACACAATTCCCTTCACATTTTCCTTGGTTGAATCCTGCTATGATGATGCCAATTCCAATTAAAGCTGCCGTAACCCAGCATCCAAGAATCATGAATGCAATGATACGATCATTCATTGCACTTCTGTAATTCAGAGGCTTACACACAGCATGATATCTGTCAATAGAAATGCAACATAGGTTCAAAATAGAAGCAGTGCTCAGTGTTACATCAAAGCTGCCTCGTATTTTGCAAAACAAATCTTCATCATACCAACATGAAGTAACAGTGAACATCATGCTGAAAGGAAAAACTAAAATTCCGACAAGCAGGTCAGCCACAGCAAGGGAGAGGACAAGGTAGTTGTCAGGAGTGTGGAGCTGTTTGAAGTAAATGATTGATATTATTACAAGAAGATTTCCACACACTGTTATAAGAGACAAAGAGCCAAGAAAAACATACAATGCCACACAACTAAAAGAAGGGTTACTTGTGAATTTGTAAATGGAGTCATATGATTCATAACATGGGTGTGTGGTAAATACACTTTGGTTGGCAACTAGCTGATGTTCCATAGCAGAAGTTTTCTGAAATATTACAATGAATAAAAATAACATACTAAGGTATTTTAAAAATACATGCATCAAATTATCATGATTTAAATCACCTTACAGAACCCTTATACATTTTCAATAAAAAGATATGAATAGATGTAATTTAAAAAATAGAACCAAATACACTCACACACATAGTCTGTGTGCGCTTGAGTGGATGTCCCCTTCTCTCTGAATGATCTTGCTAATGTGCTTGACACTTAAATATGAAACTTTACAGTAATTAATGAAAAAATCCACCATGTCAGGTGGGAGACATGATGACCTATGTGCTCATGTTTTAATAATTTGTTTGAGTTCGTTCACAGGAAACTTAGGTCACAACACACCATGTTTGATAAGATTGAACAAAAGGTCTGAGCTAAACTGTACTATTTTATCTGCAACATATCTATTAGTCGGAGGTAATCCCTAATGGACAGTGTTTAGCATGTTTTTGTTGTTTTGTATCTTAAGCAGAACTGAAATTAATGCACTTATTACTGGGCTCTTACCAAATTGGTGTCCGGTACAGGAGAGAATTCAACTATTTAACTGAAGTGCATTGGAGAAGGGATAAACCGTTCACTAAAATATAAGGAGTTGTTTGAATGCCACTCTCAAGTGTAGTCTGTTGTTGACCATGTCCAATTTGAATTAGTTTCTTAGCCTTTTTAAATGTAATGGAAAATATAATGTTGATGTTAAACGAGGTTTGCTGATCGGGAATATTTTCACTTGCTATATTGTCCATTGAGAAGCTAAAGTGTCACAGTACAGAGGATGTGTAGAGCTCAATGCCTCATTGCTCAAAAGAGGTCAGTCTCAGTCCCTCAAGAGCTCCCACGATACGGTCTCATCATAAGAGCTATTTATTTTCCACAAATGACATGGTCCTAGTTTCTGGCTAATGGGTTTAGCACAGGTATAGGTTACCCCATTAAGGCCTGAACACACCGGCTGCTTATGACTTTTTAATCTCCAATCTGGTGTTTTTTTTTTTTTTCCCATGTCACATTTACTGCTTATAGATAGGCTCCAACTAGGCAGGGTGGGTAGATCTGTTCAGATTTTTTTCACTACTGTCTCTGTGCTATATATACAGATAAAACTATTTTAAACATTTGACTTGGACAGATTATGAAAAGTAATCTTTTTTTAAAACACTGGTGCATTCTATAAAGTAAAGCCCCACTTGATGAGCCTGTTGAGCACGTCAAACCAGAACAGACACATCTAGAAAATAATAAATCCTGTGGGATGGTTTATATACTGACTGAGGCAGTGAGAGTTGAGAGAAAGAGATCTGTGAAGGTTATCTGAGATTTTCTTTTCTTTCTGAGGTTAGAGAGATACAACTCACATACCTGCTCTGTCTGCCCATCTTTATTTTGCTCTGTGCGAAGCTCAAAGAGGATCACTATTTTAACAATTTTCTTTCCTCCTGAACTCATATCAAGGGCAATATATTCTTTTTTTAATGTTTCAATCATTGTTCTTGTACAAATCTGTCCAGCTTACTTTACACGTGATATGTCCCTCATAGCGGATGTGTTTTACTTTGTAACTGCGTCTCTCTTCCTGTCAGACCCATGCAATTGCTGCTGAATTGCTGTGTAGTCTGACTAAAATAGACCTCTCAGTTGGACCTGCACAAGAAAGTTGCGTAAAATGGCATAGGGTGTGATCATCCCCATTAACAGTCATTGAGCGCTAAATGCCACAGCCTCGTCCAACCTAATTTTCTACGCTGTGTTCTGGCCTTAATGTGTTGCTGCTGCTAACTAGAGTACTGCTGCTTGGTGCATGATACGTTTGCCTTTCAATAACAAGCCCAAATGCAATAGCCATAGGTTAATTCCCACGACGGAGGGGCAAAATATCTGATCACAGAGACACTTGATTAAAAAGAGATTTTGTATGTTCTTACTGAAAAATATCTTTGCAATAGCCTTTTTTCATTATACGATTACAACATTGTTTGATGAGCTGACTGACACCTCAGTAGCTTAGCAACGATGAATCTGTGAGCCTGTAGTCTATTTTCCCTGAATGTAATTCAGGTCTGAGGTTCTTGTGCTGTTTCTGCAGATATGACTTCAAGCTGATGTTAAATGGGCAATGTTAAATGTAACCATCATTTCCAATAACCACACTGTAAGCCTTTTCTTTGGATTTATTGGCTGGTATGGATGGATGAATGAATGGTAAAACTGCAACAAAGAAATAATGTGCATAAGGCACAATTCCAAATAAACAGGCACAATTCTCCTAAATAATAAACTCAACATATTCCCTGAATATGTACAGAAACGCATAATGACATAAACTAGGGTGACCAAACGTCTGTATTTCCCGAGACATATACGTATTTCACGTCCTGTCCTGGGTGTCCCGGGTTTTTTTTAGAAAGTGAGGAAATGTCCTGATTTTTTATATTACCTTAATTGGACCATTAAATTTACAGGCACTAGGGCACTGCGCACAACGCTGCGTGTGACGTAATCCCGCGTTCCCGCAGGCTGCAGCGGGATGTACTTGCAGTGCGGGCAGCCCTGTTCTTAATCATAATATATAGCGTGGCTGTCAGTACGCCAAAAACATGCAAAAGCGCAAATGTATGTTTACCGACG